CGCATCTATTAAACTCGCTCCCTCTGTCTGGCCAGTATTCGGAAGGCCAAGGCTGGTTAGACCGGAGTGGGGTTCTTGTGAAATTTCACTTGCTGACTTTAGACTGCCTGGCCTGCCAAGAGACCGACTAGGCATCATCTGATTTGTCTCTACACTTGCCTCAAAGCTGCACTTTGCTATTCTTCCCGGGCTCAACTTTAAGTCAGTCATGTTCACCGCCAAACCAGCCATCTGGCTGGCATCCCCATTGAGCACGGGACTATTGGATCGTCGAAGGGCCGAATAAAAACATCCCACTTCATTGGAGTTAGGTATATTTGCTTCTTGTAGTTGCATCTGCTTTTGTCGCACAGGGAACCGATTATTTTCGTCTGTTTCGGTACCTGGTGTAAATTCGTCATTCATATGATCAATATCCTCTTCCTCTTCTTCCTCATCCTCATCGTCGTCGATTTCATCGTCTTCATCATTATTTTCACTTTCTTCATCAACAATTTCCTCTCCTTCATCTTGTTCTTGTTCCTCATCTTCTTCATCTCTCATGTCAACTTGTTCGCTAATCTCACTTCTCTCTTCTTCGTTCTCGTCCTCTCCCAAAAGTCCGAGGTCTTCATCCTCAGCCTCTTCGCCCTCCTCTTGTTCGTCATCTTCATCTTCCTCCTCGTCCTGTGACCTGCCAGTTTCATTTCCAGAGTGTTCATTACTTGCATTCTCAACTGGCATCTCGTTTTCATAGAGCTCATCTGTCTCCTCCTCGACGACCTCTTCCGCGTCCTCATCTTCTTCGTTTGCATGCCTTCTTATTGACTCATTTTCATCCTTTTTTCCTCTCATTGCCTGCCTATGCTCAAGAACTGTGCTACCAGAGCTTGACTTTCGGTTGAATTCTTCCATTTTTCCGCGCTTTCTTGTCCTTCTCACCGCCTTCTTCACTGTTCCACCTTGTTTGTTTCTTGGGCTGTTCTGTACCTGGCCATCTTCGCTCGTCAGGCTTCCATCATTAAGGCTGTTCTGTTCCCTTTCAACCGGTTCCAGGTCGCCGAGACCTTGACTTCTACTGGTCGTCAACCAGGATGTAAAAGGCAGATGTTGCCCTGGCGAAGCTGGCCCCTCTGGGGGAGGCGGAGGCGGCGGAGGGGCTAACTGCGGTGGGGCGTAGAGGAGGGGATAGAAATTTGGCGCTGGATGTAACGAATGATGACAGGGATGACAGGCGGCAGCGGCTGCTGCAGCTGCCAGTATCGCAGACCTCGCGCTTGCGTGAGGTCTCAGACGGGTTGACAACATTTTTTCTTGACTCTGTGAGAAGGAGCGCCAAAGTGTGGCATCCGAAGCCGTCGATCTGCCCGCTCGGGTCGTCCTACCTCCCGGAGTGGCTGGATGGTCGGCGCGATGCGGGCTAGATCCGGCAAGTTTGGTCTTTGTTGAGCCTGCACGACGCTTCTCGTTGCCTGAGACCGAATGATGCCGCATTTGGTGTTGTTGCTGTCTTGTTTGGGCGCGATGATGTGGTGTCGTGGGATAGGCCTGTTGCCGGGAGAATCTGCCCAGTGGCTGCCCGATGTAGGCGGAGGGCGCCAGAAAGCCGGCAAGACAAGGCAGTCTGGTTGGTGGGGCCTTGTAGTGATGCGGAGTGGAGGCCATCAACTGGTTGTAGTAGGCCGCGGCGGCTAAGGCCGTTACGCTGCGAAGATCCGTTGTCGACAGACTGGTATAGCAGCGGCCCGTCCGACCGGTACCGGAACCCCGGGCGACATGTCGATCGGTGGAGGATTTCTGTCGACGCGACTCACTTCGGTGGGCCGACTGAAGGGATGGCGGTTGACTCGTCTGTTTCGCCTCTCCACCAGTCGGCTCTGATTCTTCCGTCTGCTGATACGTTTTGGCTTCAGCGAGTGGTTCCGGCCTGGCCATTCGTCGCCACAGCGACTCTGGCTCTTCAAGACTAGGACTTCCGGCTCCCATGGGTGTTGCGTCCATTCCAGTCTCCTGCGGACTTGTCGGAGAGGCGGCCTTCCTTGCACTCGGTGGCGTGATTTGATGTAATAGGGCAGTATCAGTAGGCCGACCCGAGTCACCTTCCACACCGGTAGACATGCCTGATGAACTGTTCACCGTCATCATTGGCGAGGTCAACCACCCGTCTCCGGGCGTCTTTAATTCCGGCCCAGCCGACTGACAGTGGTATCTGGCTTGCAGTGCCGGATCCCCCAAAGCATCAGTATGCAAAATGCTGGCCACAGGTCTCGAAATTTCCCCAGGCGTAGGCAGATTCGAGTTCTGATTGCCTGATTCATGCATCACCTTGTCCTGAGATGTGTATTGGTCAAGTGTGCTAAAGGATAGTTGTCCCGGAACCAAACAGATGCCACTATCGCCTAACATATCAATACCTTTGTCACCACATGAAATGGCCTCTGTGCGCCTGAGGTGAGAGACTAAAGTGCTGAAAAGCTGCCAATCACCAAAGGTCATGTCAAGCTCTCTACGAAGTTGGTCAAGTTGACAAACCGACAATACGAGACCATTAATGTTATGCTCCAACACACGCGCTTGGTACTGGCTTGCGTGCTCTGCAGAAATGTCGCTTATCCGGCCGATAAGATCGCACACTTCTTGTACACTTAGGTCGCTGATTTTGGGCGGGCACTCCAGGCAGGTTTGCTAGTTATAGAAAAGCATAGTGACACGAAGGGTCTTAGACTTGCAAATAATATAATAAAAAGGTAGTGGTAGATTGTAGTCAAAGGAGTCAAATTTTATTGCTAAACTATGGTGAATTCAAGTTCTAGCTTAAATTTACAATCAGCAATACTTATTAAAATATAAAATTAATTCGCTCAAGGCCCATAAGTTTAGACTCGTTCAAAGGGGCGGAGGATATTAAATGATAACAGGGTGGAATAAAGTTGGAGATTCCGACAGGGACTTTAATAAGCAGATTAATTATTCACTCGGAGAACAAGTAAATTCAATAAGAACTGTTACTCTTTTTCGTTTTAGGTAATGAAGGACTGATAGTTGAATTTTGCCAAGATGATATGATACGACACTAAGATGAGTGCCTCGAATTTCCTTGGGTCACAGTGGGGAGGGGAATTTCAAGGATTGATACTGGAGTTTCTTTCATTTGGTCTGAAGAAGCGGATGGAAGGGATTCGTAAGTTGGCTTTATTGGAGGCTGTAGGAGGATTGCCTTGGAGTTGTGACTGTAGATTTGTGCGAATAGGCCCTCGGCGCACCGCCCTGCTGCCCTGATGCATCCTTGCTAAGCTTTCGTTCATCATGTGATAAAAATCGTCATAGCGTGGTCGCTTAACGGTAAGTTACCAAAACACGAAGACAAGAAAGGTGGCCGACTTCTAACCTACCTCTTTCTTATAGTCAAACCTGGTCCACTTAATGAGGTATCTTATGATTTTGTTGTATATCTTATGCTTTGCCTAAATGCTTTCTGAAAAGTTAGGTTAAGTGGCTGCAGATAAAGCGTGAAACGGATGCCATTGTTACCGAACAATTTGATCCTCCCCTAAAACACTTATATTTTTAGAACCTAAAATGTTACCTTATGTGATTGCATTCCGTTGTACTTGTGATGTGTGAATATATTGCTCCTGAAATCTGTGAGATATGAGAGTCAAAACCAGAATAGAGCCTATTCAAGCCTCTTGTTTTGTGGTACTT